TAAGGTTCTCATGGCAACCAGAATCCACAGCTGCCTTGCCTGCATTGTCGAAAGGCCTTCTCCTGACAGGCTGATGAATAATCCCAAAGTCTCCCTATTGGACAGGAATTGTCAGCGATTCTTTTGGGGGAGGCGGGGGTGGGGCGCCAAGGCAAGACTAGCCAACCATTTTAATGAGATTTTTTAATGAATGCAAAAAATTTTTGGCAATACTCTCAATGAAGGTGCCCAAATAAAAAATACATTTATATTTAATGAGACACTATTTATTATTTATGCAATAATAAATGCCAGTTGGTTATTAATAAAATATTGCTCAGTCATTAATCCTCAATAAATACAGTTAAAGTAATTAGTATTAAAGTGACAAATATTTCATAATGAGAAAGTAATTTTCTCAATGTTAATGGATTATTCAAACAAACCTTATAACTTGAAGGTATCAAATGGAGACACTCTAGGGACAGGCTGAGACGTGATAACATAACCTTGAAAACTTTGAAAGTTGAAAAATTGGGAAACCGAGGCCAGCAGGGCCTCAAACTGCGATCGAGAGAGAACCTCAAGTTTCTCAAAAAAGGAAAGGGACAGAAACTCCACAGACCAACGTAAGCCTGAAGCCAGGACAGATTTTAGGGTTTTACTCTTGCAAGGTCAGGGGGTTTCTTGTTCTCTCATTTGAAAAATGAGAGTAATCATGTCTCCCATCCAGCGTCCTGGTAAGGATTAAATGGATTATATATTTTTCAAAGGCCTGTAGGATAGGAGATATTTGACAAATGACAAGTCGGGCTCAAGTCCATTAAAAAGGTGTGTCCCTTGACGGAAGCAAAGGGAATCGGCTGCACCATTTCCTGGGGTACTCGCGGAATGTGGGAAACTGAACTGGGCTTCTCAGAATTACATCGCGTGCTCTGAGTAGCTGCACTGATCCTCTCCGCTTTGCCTAAGCTGTTTGCATAGATGTCAGGCTGCCTGACAGTACAGTGTGGCCGTGCTGACAGAATTAACACAGAGGAGTAGAAAGGTGTAAATGCGAGGGGAACACTGGCTCCTGCTCCTGGCTCTGCACACACTGCTGCAGGCCCCCTTTCTCCCTGCTCCACCATCATACCACACACATCAGGACAAATAATTCCTGGAAGTCTCCTGGACTTGCCTGTATTTGATGACCCTTCCCTTGCCCTGCATTTCCCCTTCTTTAGAGCTTTGATTCCAGGCAGACCTTTGGTTGTGGAGAGCTGGGGGGTGATGAGGATAATCATGAAGAGGACAAGCCAGGCATAGAATAATGCAGCCCACCTTAGCAGCCACTGCTAAGCTGCAGGGAGGATGTGGGGAGAGCCAGCCTTGAGGCTGTGCTAAGGAAGGAGCTTGTTTCCTACCATTATAAACATCTGTCTGTAAAGCCCTAACCAGCTCCAGATTTATAGCCCTTCCAGATGATACCAGTGCTTCCAAGAGGTGACATTCAACCCAACAACAGCAAGTGCATTCTGGGTACCAGGTGCCATGATGCTGACAAGGGGGAATTTTCCCCAGAACCTGACAAAGGAACAACTCAGTGCATTAATGTGAGCTATGCCATAAAAGAAACAGAGTGATGCCATGGGAAAACCCTATCTTGGGCTAGAGATACAGTTCAGTTAGTAGAGGATCTGCCTGGCTTACTCCAAGCTCTGGGTTTGATTGTCAGCAGCACATAAACTAGCTGTGGTGGCACCTGCCTGTAATCTCCTCACTCCGGGTGAGTAGAGGTAGGACAATTGGAAGTTCAGGATCGTCCTCAGCTACTTCGTAAGAAAGAGACCAGAGGTAAAGAATGAAAAGTCAGAGGAGACTGAAAAAGACTCCATGAACCTGTCAGTTTGTATGTGTTTTGAGTGTCTCTCTCCTGCACTTCTAGAAATGCAGACACACGCAGAGGTAGTGACTCCAAGGTTAAGTTAGGTACATGGATGTAAGAGGTTATGACTATAAACATATGGAGATATAAGACAGCACAAGCCCTGGAGACAGGATAGGCTGGGCTCAACTGTGGCTGCTGACATTTCCCAGTCTGTGTACAAAGTTCAAGTTTACAGCCAGAAGAATAGAGTACCACCTTCTCTAACTGGGTATTTAGGAATTTCAAAGGAGTTCGTTCATCCAACCCCTTTCAGAAGAACCTGGAATAATCTAAGCGACCAATAAGTAGCCAGAAATATCATACTCAACACTCTACCACTTGACCCAAACCTATTCTGACTCTCTGAAAACTAAGCCCTGGATAACATGCTTCACACCAGAGGCCAAGTGGCACCGTGAATATTAAACCACAAATTTGAGTTTTGAACTGTCCTCTACCCTTGTGGGTTACACCCCTGCCTCAGCCTTGTGAATCTGCCCACAATCCTCTTATCCATTAAAAGCACAAGCAAAAAGAAGGTTCAGCTGCCAATCAGTACCCATCCAGGAAGGTTGAGATAGCTGTTGGCATTAACAGACTCAGAGGGTTTGCTTGGATTTGCTAGAGGCTTTTGTTTGGACTGCAGGGTTTCTTGTAACTGCTCACCTGTTAGTGAATTTCCAAGGAAAGAGTAGAATGTTTAGAGTGTTCCCTCCCTAGTCAACCAGACTCACTTACATTTGGCAGAATGCTGGCATTTCCAAAACTTTTCAGAAAAACTTCCATCTAAATTGTTCATGCTTCACAGGTGCGCAAAGTGTGGTGGACATGTGTGTAGGGTACTGGCTCTCTGCGTTCCCGTAACAACATATCAGAGACAAAGTGGTCTCACAGAAAGTGGTGTTTGAGAACAGAAATCCCAGAGAGAGGTGCCAGAGACATTGATCTGAGTTCTGAAGGATGGGATCAGGGCTGGGTCCATGACCTCATTTAACCTCAGCCACCTCCCGAAGACCCCACCTCTAAACATAGTCACACTGGTGGTAATGTTTGAACATACAAATTGGGTGTGGGATAGGGTCACAATTCAGTTTCTAACTAGGAGGGAAACTGGCTTCTTCATCTACTTTACAGAATTATCTTGTGGTAAACTTAGACCAGAGCCTAGAATTCCTGGCAGGCTGTTGTGCAGTTTCACCTGGCTATTTCCCTAACACTTCCTGGTGGAAGGCTTGGTGGAGAGAATCCTATATTCATTGCTTTACCCTATATTTATTGGGTACAAATAATTCATCCTATATTCACTTGTTTTTAAGTGAGTGCCAATCACATGCAGGTCATTATGCCAGACTAAGCTTAGAGATTTCAAAGAGCCCTATTGCCCTGAAAAAGGAAACTGAAATCCTAAGGAGCATCAGATGGGCTACTGGAATTCTAGACAGCCAGGTGTTTATCTGTATTGGAGCGAAGGGTCACAAAGAAAAAAGATACAATCCCAGCACTGCCATGACCAACTAGATGTCACAGGGCAAATTATTTAACCTCTCTCTGAGCTGCAGTTTCTTAATGTGGCAAATACGAATAAGACTTTCTAGGGCACGTTATGGGGGAAGGCACAAGCGTGAACGATCTAGCACCTTGCCTGGCTCTGAGCCAGCCGTGATGTGGGGAATGCAGATCTCTATCAGCATGGAGAGGTTGGGAGAAGGGATTAGGTGACAACACCCAGCGACACTCTCCCTCTTGAACATTAGTAACAGAGTTTGCACTTGGTCTCATTAACAAGTGTGTGTGTGGGTTGTCAATTTTAGATTTTCAGAATCTCAGGTACAGTGCCAGCTTCCATCATTTATCTTCTGTTACTACAGGGGACTGATCCCACTGAGAGAGATTTATTAATAAGCACAGATACTTCATTGCTAAAAAGCCATTGAACCTCTTCTTTAAAAATGGGAGCATTTGTGTGCTGCTGTGAATATATCCAGACACATTTTTAATCCCCAAGCTGCTGTCACAGACCAGCCTTCCTTTAGGAGAACTTTCTTTATGAGCTAGCATTTATGTGTCACCATGGACCAGGGTCCTATGCTACATTTCTTAGGTACATTATTTCCCCTAATTTACAGGATAAGGGGGAGAAGGATGCCTCAGGAGCCCTATATTTTGGTGAAGACACTGAAGACCAGCCAGTGAGAGGCAGGATAGTGGTTTTGAAGGCACAGCCTTGACTGGCAGCTACAGCATGCCTGAAAGCTCACAGGACAACAAGTATACTGTCAGACCACACCAAGATCTGCCTCCAAAGCTCCAGGGTTGTCATCTAGAGCTTGGTGTTTAAATTAGCTACACAGGTAAATTAGCTATACATCTGAATATTTGTGGGATTTGTCTGTGATAACATAGCTAAGAAGAGATGAGGGGAACCATAGCTAAGATCTAACTATACAACAGCAAATTTCTCAACCAGCAGTGACTGGACAGCTCCTCCACCCCTCTGCAGACACTTGGTGATGCCTTGAACACATGTTTGGTGATCACCACGAGAAGGAGGAGGAGGAGGAGGAGGAGGAGGAGGAGGAGGAGGAGGAGGAGGAGGAGGAATTACTTCCTCAATTCAGGGCACTGCTAAGATTCTACAATGCTCGTGGCAGACATGACAATAAATAAATATAAGGCCCTAAGTCAGGACACTGAAGTTTACAGTCTTATGATGCCCTATGAAGAGACACTTAAGGTTGGAGGAGAGGAAGAGAGAGACAAACAAACAAAAGACACAAGAGGAGGGAAGAAAAACACTGAGGAAGGAAGGAAGGAAGGAAGGAAGGAAGGAAGGAAGGAAGGAAGGAAGGAAGGAAGGAAGGAGGAGACAGGAGGAAGAAACCCACTTAAGTGAACAAAATGGTGAAGAAATGGGAGGGGAAAGAGAGAAGAGGGGGAGGGAGATAAATGACTGGTTTGGAGAGGATGAGCATGGAGCCAGGAGACTGATGATGGAAATGGCCATTTTAACATCCTTGCGCTGGAGCCCGGGAGCAACAAAGAACGGAAGCACAAGCAATAAGTCTTCAGTATTTCACACTTAGTGGGACTTTTGGACGTGAAATGTACTTACAAAATAATGTGGCATTTCAAAAGCATGTTGTCCTCTGATAAGCCAGGGTCTGGAACCAGAAAAAAAAAATGCATGTATGGACAATTACCAGACTGTAACAGCCGATGAATGTGATTTGTAAGTTGCAGCCACTGTATTTATTTCAGCATATTAACATATAGACGTTTGTCACCTTACCAAAAGCCTGTGTGATTTCCTCCCCCAGCAGGGGCTCAAGCTGGCTGCCTTTCTCTCTCCTCCGCGGCCTGCACAGCCCATACCTCATTCTTTCATCCGTCAGCTCTCTCCTTTCACATTCCCCTCCACCCTGCCTTATTTTCTTCCTGTTTCTGTCTCCTGCCAATCTTTCACTCCATCCTTTCTGTTCCCATTTTCCCTCCTCCTCCGTCTTTCCTTTGTTCTCCCTTCCTACCCTCTCTCCAATTTCATACTTTTTTCTAAAGCTTTCCTTTTTCTTTCTTTTTATGCCCCTCCCCCGCCACCTTCAGCCCCTTCCTTTGATTGCCATTGTCTCTTCCCTTTTCAGTCCTAGCACTTGGTTTCCAGCCTTCCCTTCGCCTTTCCCTTCCCTGCTGCTTTGACTCAGGAAGCGCAGCACTAAGTCACTAAGTCTATATAAGTCCTGGTGTTAAAGAAGCTCTTTTTCTTGTCCATCCTCTCATGGACCCTCAGCAGGGATGAGGACAATGTTTTTAGAGAGGGAGCAGTGACACTTTGAGGGGCTGGATAATACTCAAATGGAAAGAATTAAAAAGCAAAGAAGGGATGCCTTTGCTACCTAAGAATACAGATCCTGGTCCCAGATCTGACTGTAACTGGCAGAACAAGGACCCCTGTCTCCGATATCTAGAACCTATGGATGTTGTCTTAGGAGGAAAATGGATCTTTGTAGATACAATCACCTTTTAAAGACTCTGAGAGGGAGAAATATATGGGATTACCTAATAATGTAGCCTAAATACAATCAGGATGTCATTATAGAAAGGCTACAAACGCATTTGACATAGACAGAAGGCAATAGGAGGAAGAGGTAGAGATTAAACTAATGTAACCAGAAGTCCAAGAATGTTGGCAGCTGGGAGCAACAGTGGGAAGGATGAGACTCTCTTCCATACATGCAAACAAGAGTGTGACTCCGCCCAAAACTTGACTTCTGTCCAGCGTTACTCATTGATCTTTAGAACTATAAAGAAAACAACAACTTTTGTTGCCTGGAACTATGGCTCATGGTTGTTAGAACTGCCACAGGAAGCTAGCACACTGCTCTTGGTCTCCGTGCTAAAATACTCAGTTCCCAGTTTCTGAGCTAGCTTGCTCTTTGTCACAGTTACTGACCCCCTCCTTAGCTGTGACTCCAGGGTCCCACATTCTATCAGAGATGTTGCTTTCTCCTTCCAAACTTGCAGATACTTATCTTCTACCTATAGTCAATAGTGAATTTTCTATTTTTTTTTATAGAGAAGATCCATGACTCTTCACATACCATGCCACTTTCTACGTATCCATCAGCCTTAACTGCATACCCTTTTCTTCCCTGTTCTACTGGAATACAGAAAGAACCTACTGGCTTTAGACAGGACTCCCTGTCTGCAATGCTATTATACCTCTAATCACAATCTACAAAGCAGGGGCAGTAGCTTCTCCTTAGTTACCCAGGGCAAAGAGATCACAGCTGGGATGTGAGTCATCCGCAGCTACACAGGGGAGCCACTCCGTCCCAGTTAAACCAATATGTGCGCACGAAGACTAGAAAATGAGTGTTTCACAAATAATCAAAAACGTAAGAAAAGAACGGGAAGACATTCAAACCCAAACAGACCTGCTTTGACTCCTAGCTCAGCCTCTTATTAGTCTTCTAAATCTGGGTGAGTTTAATTTTAACTATGTGTATATGGGTGTGTCTGTACGTGGATATTAATGCTTGAGTGTGGGTATCCACAGAGGTCAAAGGAGGCCATCATATGCCCTGGAGCTGGAGTTATAGACAGCTATAAGCTGCCCAACCTGGATCCTGGGAACTGAACTCTAGTCCTCTGCAAGAACAGTACATGCTCTTAACTGCTGAGTCATATCTCCAGACCTGGACTATATTTTATTGTTCTTGTTTTTGTTTTGGTTTGTGAGGGTTTTACTATGCAGTCCTGGCTGTCCCGGAACTCACTTTGCAGACCAGCCTGGCCTCAAACTCACAGAGATCCATCCAACTTGGCCCTGACTACAGGATTAAAGGTGAGCACCACCACAACTGGTCTGTGAATTATTTTTTTAAAGTCTCCCTTTCCTTCTATGCACTATGGGGACAGCTCTGCCAGTCATATAGGTTTACTGTTGTAGGATTCATTAATATGTGGGGACCTGTTTGTAACATTTAACATATAACATATGACTTAGAACTATATTATTAACACAGGAAACCAAAGTTGGGCTCCTTTTATTAACTGTATCTTCATAGAACAATTACTTCAGTTTTTAGAGCCTTAAGTGCCCTGTCCTTTTATGATCAGGTAATTGTAAGGACTTAACAGTAGCTGGCCCAGTGGCCATAGCATAGTAAGGACTCAGAATATGTCTTTTTTTCATCAGGCAAGTAGGGACATTGTGCTCCTCTCTGCTTCACTGACAAAAGAAACTTCAAAGCAGCAGCCTGATTCTGATGGCTTCTCTCTCCTGACATGTTTTTTTTTTTAATAGATGGCCCTTGATTTTATGGAAATCCAACTATGTTATTTAAGACTTACATTGTATAAGAAAGAAACTTCATTTTATCAGTCAATTTTACATTAAGGAAAGACTTGAGGGTTTCTTTCAAACTACTTGCCTCTAAAATCCAATTCAAATGAGGACATTAACATTACCCCAGGTGTCAGGCACCCTTTTCCTATCTAGACTCTACCTGCACAGACCTGGACACCGCAGCCTTTGTGTGCCAGCCTCAGCATGCAGGCCGCCTCTCCTGCACCCTGGCGCCCTGTCAATGTCTTCGGTTGAGACTGAAAGTCCACCGGGTCATTGCTTTTTGACTGGCATCTGTGGATGCTCTCTGCATAGCATGGCCACATGGGAAATGTCACTGGCCATCACTGTCAGATGGCTGCTCTAAGCACCTGTTGGCCTTAAAGTTTATAAACAGACAGAAGAAGCTGGCGCAGCATCTTACGGCTGCTTCCCAGTTTTGCCTTGCTCTGTTCAAAGCCTAGACAGAAACCATCTCAGTTTTGGGCTCTCTGTTTCCTCAGCCTCCTCCAGCTTAAAGACGAGAGGTGAGGTCCAATACAAGGGAAACGTATCCCCAGTCACTCCTTCTACAACTCGGCTCTCTCTACACTCATGCCCGAGCAAAGGACTTTCAGTTTCACTCTTCTGAAAACTTTCCCCACACTTAAAAATTCATTTCTCACAGCCCCTGCCCCAGGTCAGTAGTAATGTGCATTGGTAAATGTAGCTTAGGCCTATGGTACATAAACACTCAGACGTTTTCCAACTGTAGATATCAAGGTCACAGAGCTAGTTAACAGTAGAGTTAGGGTTCAGAAGCTGTTCCCTCTGCTTAACAGGCCAGGAATAAGCCAGAGCAGATGCATGTGGAGGCCAGAGGCTGATGTGGGGATGTCTAACTCTGGCACTCCCCACCCCCTTTTCTTTGAGATGGGGTCCTCACTGAGCTGGATCCCGCTAAGCTGATTGTTCAGTGAGCATTTAGGTTCTACCTGTCTCTGTCCTTCAGGGCTTTGGTGACAGCTACATGCTGCCATACTCAGCTTTTTATGTATGTGCCAGGGACTAAAAAAAAAAAAAAAAACCAGCTTCTCTTGAGTGTATGGCAAGCATTTTAACCATGGAGGCATCTTCTCAGACACTAATATTTTTATGAACATGGTTATGTTTCCAACAATCACAAGATGTATATCGAAACCTTCTCAGCCGCTCATTAGACCTGGATACAAGGAACTGACCCTGTTTTCCTGATGAGGAAACTGAGTGTATTTGTTTAATTGATTTGCCTGAGCATGAGCATCCTCAAATGCATGCCTGTTTTGTTTTTAATTGATTTCTCTGTGTTTTGCATAACACATTGGCCAATGTCGAATTTAGAAATCAGTGGGTTTTTTTTTTTAAGCAAAATTTCGCAGCTCTGTAATTAATCATTACTAAAAGCCATTTTCCCCCAAAATCTTGGTCCCTCGTACCTTTGCCCTTTTAAGCAGCTAAGGATGAATTAGCCTTGGGAGGACTAAAGCCAAAAGAAAACTGATGGTGGGGCAGACACACCTAGTGATACCCAGGGCAGAGTCTAAGCCTGGGGTACTTGGCCAGGGCTGAGGACAGAATAGATAACTTTCATTCCAGGCCCTCCAGGCTTCATCCTCAGCACCAGTGCCTGGGCCCCAGAAGTGTCCAGCAACAAGTGTTATGTGGACACTGTTGAGCTTCTTCAGTGTACTGAAAAGGAAAGAGATGGGAACAGGATCCTCAGCCTTGGAAGACAGTTGGCACCTTCTGTCTCATGGCCTCTCCCTGACAGCTGAGGTGAGGAGACGGGAGCTCACAAGGTGAACTAGGGAGCTCAGAGCCTGGTATGATACGGGGAACCCCGGCCATCGGTGGGTTCTGGCTCTTGACACCAAAGCTGTTCTTTCTTTCATTCCTTCTTTCTTTTTTCTTGTTTTGGCATAGGAGAGTAGATACAGGGCCTAAGGCTGGCTAAATACTCTCCCACTATGCCCCACTCCCAGCCCTGGCCCGTCGTCGTCCTTTATTTTATTTTATGTTTGTCATTAGACAGAATCACACTAAGTTTCCCAGGCTAACCTTAAACTCAGTGCTATGTCACCCAAGTAGCCTTTCATCTTGCAATCCCCCTGCCCAGCCTGAAGAGTAGCTGGGATCAATTCTAAGCAATATGCACCCTGCCCAGCTGCACAGCTTTTCTTGATCTTGCCATGCTCATTACCATGTGTTAACTGGCAGGCCTGAGGAAGACCAGAGGTTAGTCCAAAGCAGCTCCCAGGATTCAAGTGACAGGAGCCTCCTTACCTAAGCAGGGAAGCC